AGTGTGCATCAGACAAGCAAAGCTGGCCGATTGGCCAGCCTAAATGTTTTTGTTCAGGCTGGCACTCCAGAAACACACACACTGTTACTCAGGTCTGTCTTAAGCATATGCGGTGCTGGGGTGCCCAGTCCCATGCACGCAGGAGGGCGGAGCCGGCCGGCCGCCTCAGCGTCTCATTGGCTTGGTTGCCCCTGAACTCATGGCGCAGAGCCACCTGCAACAGAAGAGCCCACTGCAGCGCTCTTGTTGTGATGCGTCCAAGGGAACGGGGGCAACTGGCAGGCCCCCAGCTGGCTCAGGCCACCGGCTGGTGGCCGGTCAAACTCCGGTCCTTGGTTCTGCATCAATCTGCGACTCAGATCTTCAGAAGCTGAGCACCAAAGCCAGCAGAGAAAACAAACTATTCGCGACAGAGGGGCAGACAGAGGTATATGTAAAGCATATTTACAAGCTGTTTATTCAGCATAGATCAGGACAAAGAAAACATGTCTGCTCTCCTTCATGTCCAAGAACAAGAAGCATAAGCAAAAGCTATACACAAACGGAAGTTCCCAGCAAGCTGTGCTGTGCTGAAATGTAAACAGGCATGTGACACACCACAATCATGCCTGTTCCTTTTAAGGTGGAACGGAATATTCTAACAGCTCTGACTAATGGGCAGGCTCTTCCCTGGACTCAACTCTCGGGCCCCGGACTCTCGGCCTGGTGCCCTTGAGAGCCCAGCGCCTGGGTGCCCCGCAACCCTAGCGCCTATGGGTAAGACGGTCCTGCCACTCCTAATTATCTAGTAAGGAAAAAGTTTAGGCCCATCTACTGATTGGAGATGATACATAATTTTAGAACAGGTACTGCCTCTTGTGTGAAAGTAAAAGGGCAATGACTCTTCCAAGATGGTGCCCAACTCTAGCAGTTATATTACAAACAATATACATGTTTTAAAAACAATGTTGCCCAAAGGCATATCTTCTTAGTCAACAAAAAGGCCTTTAACTACTTCATCTAAATTAACTGATTAAAGGTTGTACCCCTACACTATTATACATATATGTTAAGCAGAATAGAACAAAGACCTTTCCTTTGGCTTGTACAGTCATAGCTTGGATCTCAAACGCCTTTGCTCCTGAGCAAATTGGCTCCTGAATGAGCAAAACCCAGAAGTGAGTGTTCTGGTTTTTGAACGATTTTTGGAAGCTGAACGTTCAGTGTGGCTTCCGCAGCTTCTGATTGACTGCAGGAGCTCCCTGCAGTCCATCAGAAGCTGCGCTTTGGTTTCCGAATGTTTTGGAAGTTGAACGAACTTCTGGAATGGATTCTGTTTGACTTCCAAGGTATGACTGTATGTATCCTTCTATTGTTGAACTATAGAACTACGGTTTTCACTTACATATTAGCAAAAAGGTGGAAATGCATTACCAAAACAAGAGGTCAAAACTGATTTACACAAAATGTGCACCTGCTGATTTTGATGCAGATTTTGAAAAACTACTGTAATTTAAATGGAAATATAATCCATCTCATCACAGTGGGACAGACTGTGACCAGTCTGCCTCCTCATTCTGCTGCCTTGGTGCTAAGTATTGATGGGCAGTTATAAGAGCTCTCCTTTTCCTCCTGGACGTAGGCTAGACAACTCTTTAAAGAGAGGATGGCTTCATATAGAGGGCCATCCTCTGTAATGTAGGACACATGGACTCCCAATAAACATTTTCACAAATACTTCAAACATAAGAGATTGGAAACCTCCAACTATGTTAGAAAGTCGATTTCAGCTTGGCAGGTAGAGGATGGTAAATTTTTATTCATGTAACTAGATACTTATTGACCCATGTGTGTCATTGGGAAAGTGCTCACATTTGTTATCTAGTCGAGGAAGGGAAAACATACTGTGGTATTTAGTTAACCAACAACAGACAGTGAATCACTGATTTGGACTATTGAACGGTTCACTGAGAGCTCTCCAATGACGTGTAAACAACCAGGAGGCCTACCCATCTTATTGAAAAGCTGGGTTTGTTTTCTCCAATTAAAAAAGAAGAAAGGAAACGATTGGAGGGAAATGTTTTGGTTTCTTTCAAGCTTTCCCTCAAGAAGGGAGGCAGGGTTATTCTTTGAACAAAATCCTTGTGCATAGCAGTTCAGCCAGCTATGCAGTTGTGAAATTGCTTTTAAATTAGAATTGGTGTACAATCTGAGTTTACCAACCTGGGTTGTCAGTTGTCCCATATTTGAGACATGCTTTCACAAAAGCCCTCTTCAGGTCTTCAGCATGAAGGCAAGGATGGGCAAGTGGGAACACAAAGTGTGAGCCTATCCCTTCAAAGATGGTGTCACGGTCTGGTCTATGGGCGATCAAAGTCCCGGCTGAGGACGTCGGGACCGGGGGCAAGATGGTGGGGTGGGAGCAGGAACGAGAGTCCAGAAACCAGGGATCTGAGGGTCAGGAAGCAGGGAGTCATGAAGTCAAGGATCCGAGGGTAGAGAAGAAAGGAGTCATGAAGTCAAGGGTCCGAGGGTCAAGACGCGACGAGTCAAGAAGCCGAGGTCTGAGGATCAGGAAGCAAGAAGCCAAAAGCAGCAAGGCAGGAAATGTGTTGCTGTGGCAAAGAGCTGAAGGGAAATGCTGACCTTATATCCCTTCCTGGCTCTTGCCACCAGGTGCAGTGAGTTACCAAGCGGCCTCACCTGTGTGGCCGCGCCTTGCCTCTCCAGTACAATCTTAGGAAGGCCCCAGTCCTGCAAAGCCCTACTGGTCACAGGGCTTGGCTCCTGCACATACTCCTGACAGATGGTGTCCATTCTAAGCACACTCCCTGACAATGCATGGTTGACATTAAGAAAATAAGAAGAGCACTGCTCTATCAGGGCAATGACCCACCTAGTCCAGCATCCTGTTCTCACAGAACACAAGATTGGCTTTGTGTATTTAATAATATTAATAAATTAATAAATATCCTGCCTTTCCCCCATAACTGAATGCTCATTTCTGTAAATAACAAGGCAGTATATTCTGTTGTTGTTGTTATATAATACACATAGCGAAACACAGCTATCCCTTTAAAGTTGAACTTCTCTGAATTTTGTAATGTAGTTCTCCAGTCAAATAATGTGAAGAAAATGCATATACTAGGGTAAAGGTGTGCATACAAATGCATATATGAGAGTCACCCTTCCCTAATTCAAGCAATGTCAATTTGCAAGGTCACTTATCATAAATTAAAGCTAGAAGTTAAAAATGAACTTGTTTCTTTCATTTATTATCACATTTGTATCCTAGTGTTTCCCCATGAAACTCAAAGGTATATTCATGCTTCTCCCTATTTTATTCTCGCAACAACCCTGTGAGGTAGGTTAGGCTGAGAAACTGTGACTGGCCTAAGGTCACCAAGAGAGTTTCATGACGGAGTGAGGATTTAAACCCTGGTCTCCCAGTTCCTAGTCCAACTACATCACACTGTACTTAAATTGTGTGTGTGTGAACTTAAATTGAGCTTGGTTTATATCAGTTTCTTGCCTCTGTTGGTCTTACTTTGATTCCATGTGCATAGCCAAGGCATCCTTTTTGGGAGCAAACATCACTGAACATAGGGGGACTACTTAGTAAATAAAATGGAGGCTGCACCTGTAAAATTTAGCACTCTGTTTATCCTGGGAATCCTATTAAACAAACACCGAAATCCAAATACTCTATGTAAACATTGTATTTTGTAATCATGCTAATAGGTGTCGATAATTAGTGCTGATTTACATGCAAATGCAATGTACAAAGATGCAGTTGGATGTTCTTAGGGGGGAAAGAGCTAAAATTAGAATGTAATCATTCCTCTTGGTGAATGGGAGATATTCCTGTAAGGTGCCACAAATTACCATTTTGAATAAATAAATGAGGCCCTGCAACAAAATGTTGTTGGAGGGGGGGGCACCTGTCTACAGTGGGGAAGCCCACTTCTTACTAGAAAAGAGGGCACTTGGAAGGCATAGATCAACATTTGCCTGTAGGCAAAGTCTTTTTCAGAGATGTGACTGAGTACTTGGCGAACAAGTAAAGGTAAAGGTAAAGGTAAAGGGACCCCTGACCATCAGGTCCAGTCGTGGCCGACTCTGGGGTTGTGGCACTCATCTCGCTTTATTGGCTGAGGGAGCCGGCGTACAGCTTCCGGGTCATGTGGCCGGCATGACTAAGCCGCTTCTTGCAAACCAGAGCAACGCACGGAAACGCCGTTTACCTTCCTGCCGGAGCGGTACCTATTTATCTACTTGCACTTTGAATTGCTTTTGAACTGCTAGGTTGGCAGGAGCAAGGACCGAGCAATGGGAGCTCACCCCATCGCGGGGATTCGAACCGCCGACCTTCTGATCGGCAAGCCCTAGGCTCTGTGGTTTAACCCACAGCGCCACCTGCGTCCCTTGGTGAACAAGTACTTAGGCTCAATTGCTAGCAGCGGAAAGCTCAATCTTGATCTATGGCAAGGTGCCAAAGACCCAAAACATTGGCAAGAGATGTCTGGGGACACCACTTGATTGACAGTGGGGAAACTTCTTGGGCCAAATTGGAACTCCAATGTTTGGCCCACAGGCTTGATGTTTAGAGTCTTTAGAGTCACAGAGCTGACCTGACTCCATCTGAGAAGAGATTTGAAGGCACAGAGGAGGCCACCTGATGAGATGTGTGCTTTCAGAGGCACCCTTCCTCAGCTGGAAGAACTTTGAAGGGTGTAACCATGCATAGGGGAGGTGGGGGAAAGGAGATGAGGTTGGGACAGGCTGGTTGGACACTGCTCACATGCACTGTATAAACCCTGTAGTTCATGTATTTTGGGGGGCAGTAGGGATAGTTTTTGGGCCCTCTTTTCTTTTTTTGAGAGTCACGTGCGTCTGCAGACCTTAAAGTTCCCAGGTGCTGCTGACACCTCCTTCCTGTGCATGGGTGCTGCCATTTTGGCTACAGAAACAACAGCATTCACCCCCATAGAGATGGGAAATGAAAGGAATTATTACAGTGGTTTGTCAATAGCAGGACTGATAATTTATTCAGTTTCATGTATACCTCCTTATTCTTTGTCAATGAGGGCACATAGCAATATACAGAAATGAAATGCACATGAAACATTTGGAAAAATGTATACAGAATGCTGACAATGGCAAAGCTCTCATGCCTTATTCCCTGGCCTGTTCATTTTAATTGACACGTCTCTCACTTCTCTTGCTTGAAACAGAAGCCATGTTGCAGCGTCATGTATCAGGACGGTTAGGCAGGTGCCAGTAAGTTCATTTAACGCTAAGTTCTGGTGGGATATGTTGGGGTGGCAGCAGTCATATGACAATTACAAGCAGCGAACCATTAAAAAACGTCCCGCCTCTGAACTTATTGGTGACAAAGGTTTTTGTTGCTTTTAAGAGCTCAATTTGTATAATTGTCCAATAACTTATGGTCACTTTGGAAAGCACTGTGCAAGACGGCACTTTGAAGTAGGTTTCTGAGGACCTTGAAAGCGCCTTTCAAAGCACTATATTATAGAGCACTTTGCATCAGGCTTTGCAGGCACTGATTGGTGGTGCCTGCAAACTCCCTTTTGTCTTCTACCTGTTCTACCTGCTCCACTCCCCATGCCTTATATGGTGTCAGGTGTAGGTTAGGTGGGTGTGGCTTGGTCAAAAGTGCTGTGTTGGCTAAGTGGGGGGATGCCTGGCAAGCCTCCGCTAGGGGTTCCCCAGCGGAATGAAAACATCATTTGTTTTGCCCCTGTTAATTTGTTTGCAGACTCCACCGAAACAAAGGCAAGAGGAACATTTGAAAAGGAGGCCTGTTGGGTGGGGACTTTTGCTTATCCAGTCTTCAAGGCTCAACTTAGTGCAGCAGAGTTTGCTGAAACTTGGATCATCTCCTGGTGATGCAGAATGATCGCTGCAAGGGGTCCAACAATCTGCTCTAAAGAGAATGGTGAAAAAGACACAATTACTGGGCAAACTGTTACCAGGCCAGCATATAAGAATAAAACAAAAGACTTATTGGCCAGCTTTCAATGCTTAGCTCCCCACCCCCACTCAGTAATAAAATTTGCTGAAACCCTCAATGGCAAGTTTGTCTGCATGGGTTTCTAATTCCTGTCTTGCTCCTTTAAGCTGATGAGAAGTGAGATTTCCCCGTTAGGTTCTGCTAAAAATACCCCAAAATGGGTATTATAGTCTTTATTATATGTACTGTTATACATATAATATTATGCTCCGCGACATAAACTCAGAGCATGGGATGTGTTCTCAGGTTCTACACTATTGCTATTTTGGAGTGGGATGCAAGCACATACCAGGAAATTCTAATTGCACAATTACAGCTGATGGGGTGGTCTTGTGCAACAAACCTGCTTCCTCAAAAGACTGGACTTTTTGTGATAACGGATGTGGTGGTAAAATGTCCTGGAGAGTGTGGGATAGCAGTTGCTCTGATGCAAAGCCATCTCACCTCCATGCAAACAAAATAGAACAAATGTTTATTCAGGCGAGAATGTTGCTTAATCTCCCGGCACACAAATCAGAATGAAGGCAGAATAAATAGGTCCTCTGGAAGCACCCTTAAACTGTTGCTGATTCTTAGGGTTAGCATTAGAAACACAGATAAATATGGGGGTGCAAAATATCTAGACCTTTAAATAACTAACAGCTCAAAATTTATAGGAAAGAAGCATCCAGCATACAACTTCTAAAAGTGTGCTCATATATTTTCTCCCTTGTGTGGTCAAATCTAATAACTTATATCTCTCGGCATGTTTACCTGATGGAATAATGAATGTAGAAAAGAAATAATTAGAAAATGAGACACAGGTAGCAGGACTAATAATTTAAAACAACACCCCTTTGATGCAATGTACAGTGGCAGGGAGGAGAAAGCTATTTTAAAAAGGAAGAAGAATTCCTGCAGAATGGAATAATGAGATGCCCCAAGTAAGAAGGTCATCCTCATTAAGAAGACCATGGGAAATTTTTTGCTGGAGGGGAAGGCAATGGTAGCTAAGATATGTAAGGCACAGCTTTTAAATGACAGCTAATGCATCCTGCACTGATCAGATAGTTAATTAATGTTTCAGCCATTCTCAGAATTCCAAACCTTTGAAATTCTGGAAGACAATATAGTTTAACCCATTGGTGGGCTGAAAATACAGCCTTGTAAAAGGACACTGACACCCACACATGCACTATAGTGGCCCTAAAGCAGCTAGTACAGTGGTACCTCAGGTTACAGGCGCTTCAGGTTACAGATGCTTCAGATTACGGACTCCGCTAACTCAGAAATAGTACCTCGGGTTAAGAACTTTGCTTCAGGATGAGTACAGAAATCGTGCAGCAATGGCGCAGCGGCATCGGGAGGCCCCATTAGCTAAAGTGGTGCTTCAGGTTAAGAACAGTTTCAGGTTAAGAATGGACCTCCAGAACGAATTAAGTTCTTAACCTGAGGTACCACTGTAATTTATACGGACGCCTATTTTCCTTTATTGAATCAGGTTACAGTACACTGGCTCATATATTTCCTTTCAGTAGCAGAACTGAGCCCACATTCCTGTTTCACACAAAAATCCACCTCTGGGTTTACCGTGGGCATTCTTTACGTAAGAAAATAAGAAGAGCCCATCTGCTGGATTAGTCTAGTAGCTTGTCTAGTCCAGCCTCCTGTCCTCACAGTGGTCATCCAGATGCCATGAGAAGCCCCAAAGCAGGAACTGCCTGCAACAGCACCCGCCCCACTTGTTACCCCCCAGCAAATAACATCCACAGGCTTACTGCCTCTAGCAGTGGAGGGAGAACTTAGCTTTTCTTTGTTTCAGCCACCCGATTTCGGGAGGGGAACCTTTTTGTTGCTAAATAATTTGGAGCCAGAGAACCATGTTCTCTTTCTCATTTTGTCTGTCTTGGTTATCTTACTGTACCCTGTTTTGATAACTTCTGGCTGCGACGTGGCTTAGAAGTCTGAAATATAAAGTAAAATAATAAAAGAAGTCTCCTGAAAATCGCTCTGATCTTCTGCCTGCCTTAAACATTTCAAATATCCAGCAAGCGTTCAATAAAGTAAAGGAAAGAAGCTGGTTTATTAATGAAAATGAACCAAAGAAGAATAGGGAGTTAAGCGATGTCCGTTTGCAAAGTGCGTTGTATATATGCCATTACCTCTGTTATCAGGAAACGCCTGCTCTTTCCCTGGTGGGTTTCAAAGCAGAGTCTGAAATAACACATGCTGTTCATGAACACTGGTAAGGATCTGGAAGTGGTAGCTATTGACATAATTTTTTTTTTTAAATAAAAATTTAAAACCAAAGAAGCATCTGGCAGTGATTACATATGCCTTGTTACCTTACATATGACTTGTTACTGTTGGATTTCCTATGTGGTTCTGCCTTTGAAAAGCTTACAGAAGTGGTCCAGAATGGGACTGCCAAGCAACATGGAACACACCTCTCCAATTTTGGGAGCATGGGGGTGTGGGTAAAAAAGCTGGGGGACAAAACCCACCACCAAATTTTAGGGGCAGTGGCAACATTTGGAGGAGGATAAAGCTTACTGCTACTACTTGAGTATCTCTAAATGGCTGCTGGATGGAAGCTGCCTATCCTCCTTTCTCCGTAATGATGCTATGACATTAAATATAATTGCTTTAGAAGAGCAGGGTGGGGATCTGGACAAGGAAAGCACAAGAGGGGAGTGCTTTCTTCATGACATCATAGGATTTAAATGTGGCCGCTTCATGGATCACTGCTTTGTCGTGGCAAAGGAGCTTGAATAACTCCAAGAAACTATGAGCTACGCTGTGCAGGGCCGCCCAAGACAGACAGGTTATAGCCGAGAGTTTAGACCAAATATGATCCACCTGGAGAAGGAACTGGCAAACCACTCCAGTATTTTGCCAAGAAAACTCCATGGACATAAAAAAGGAGAAGCTTTGAGAAGAAAGTGTGAGTTTCCGGGACTTCCGGGTTGGCGCCATCGATAATGGCGGATTCCCTCTGAGTCTCTGAGGGACCAGCTCCGCGGGATTGGGTCTTACCGCTGCGGCGAAGCGGGGGCCCTTTAAAAATCACAGGCGGGCGAAGCCTGTGAACGTGGGGACTCGGCGGGCACCTTTTGCGCCACCCCAAGTTGCAAAGGGACCCTTTTAAGGGCTCCGGAGCGAGACGGGGTGAACGGCGCGGTGCTGAGAGTCGACTGCTTCTTCCGCGGAGTGAAGCCGCATAGCCGTTATCAGAGAGCGCTGACTTTTTCCTGGGACAATTTGACTTTGAAAGCAACTACCCGTGAGTAGGATTAAATTGGATCTAAAGGGAAAAAAACAAGCTAATTCGGCACCGAAGCGGGAAGGTATAAACAGGAAGTCTGCCTTCCTTTCTTGTAAATAGATCAAAGCAAAGAGACTGTAAGCGGAAACTCGGAAAGACGCTTGAAAAAAGTCTTAAATCTTAACATCTGGAAAGCGATCTCCCCTCCGGATTGCAGGAGAGGAGGGGGGAGAGGTTTGAACTGTATTTTTCTGCAAATAAAAGGGGAAAAGGAAGCTAAAATCCACCGACTAAAACCTGGGAACGGACTGCCCCGAGATAAGGAATGCCGCTCTGTGGAAAGCCTATCGGTAAGCAGAGGACTTTTGACAGCTAACTCTGCAAAAGAGATACAGTGTTTCTGAACTTCTCCTGGTTTTAAAGTAACTGATTAAGTGCAACTGAAACTGTTGTTTTTATGTGAATTGGGGGACTTATTAGGACTATTTTCTTTTTTAAAAGTTGCAAGCTTTGGCTGTCACTGTGTCCCCCTAGAGGAGGCTTGACATTGCTACAATAACAACTGGGCTAGAGGAATTTTCCATTCCAAAACAAATTTCCAGCCGTGGGATCGACCTTGGATTCTCATGAGAGTGTTATGGCAGATGGAAGAGGAAAGTTAGAGTTAGTGCAGGAAAAAGTTACCAGGTCTGGCAGACCCTATCGGACAGACACTGCGTTGCAGCGAAGGGCTTCAACATCTCGACCATCTGGAATACCAGGGGCTGCACCTCCACAGGTTAAACCAAAAGTTATGTCGTCCGAAGACGTTTTGGCACAGGCACTTGGAAAAATTAATGAATCTTTGGAAAATTTAGCTAAACAAGTAGCTGAAACAAATAAACAAGTAGCTGAAGCATCAGTTAAAATTGACCAGAATACTACAAGCATCAATAATTTGGGACAGAAGGTGAATACCAACACAGAGTCTATTGAAAAATTACTACAGGAATCTGCTTCGACCCGAAAGATAGCTGAAGAAGCAAAAGATATAGCAACTGCTACTCAAGAGAAGATACCACCGGTATATAAGCAATTGGAGGACCACGGTTTGACATTGTCTATGATTGAATTGAAAGAGAAACAAAGAAATTTAAGAATCAGGGCTGTACCAGAACGTGAGAAAGACAATTTGGCTGATTTTCTTACGCAGGAATTCACAGATTTCTGGCAACAGGATTTGGGGAAGGAAGAATTTAAGATAGTGAGTGCATTTAGACTTGGAAGAGGAGGAAGGAGGAACAAGGTGAGAGACTGCTTGATTACCCTTCGAACAAAAGAGGAGAGAGACAAAATCTTGAATCTGCATTACCAAAAGACTTTGGAAATTTACGACTCAAGTGTGGAGATATTCAAGGACATTCCAAAACATCTTTTGGACTTAAGGCTCAACTACGGAGATCTGGTTGCCCTGCTGAGAAGAAACAGAATCATCTTTAGGTGGGAATTTCCTCAAGGCCTGTCCTTTAAATATAAAGGAAGAAAGATAAAAATAAGATCAGTCAATGATAAAGATAGGTTTCTGAGGGATCACAGAGAAGATCTACAGAAAGAAGTGGAATCCGGAGAAGAGCCAAAAGTACTGGAAAAAGGAATACTAGACATAGCAAACTTATCTTTTGGATTGCATGGTCCAGAGAAAGAGACACCACTGACAGAACAAGAACAGACACTTGGCGCAGTTGGAGGTAAAGCGAAGTAACCCCATAATGGCTCTGCAACTGTTAAGTTGGAATTGTAATGGTTTGAACTCTCCTCGGAAGAGAAAAAGTGTTTTTCACTTACTAAAAAAGGAACAATTGGACTTGATTTGTCTACAAGAAACACATGTAACAAGGTTACACAGGAAACTACTGGTTAATAAGAGATTGGGACAGGAGTTTATCTCATCTGACAAAGTTAAAAAAAGAGGAGTTGTGATATATGCAAAGGAGAGACTATCACCGAAATTTATTTTTAAAGACGACCAAGGAAGATTTCTGGCAATTGAAATTCAAGTTCAAGGAGGGAAATTTTTGATAGTAGGAATTTATGCACCGAATGAGGGGAAATCTGAATTCTTTAAAAAGTTGCAGGAGACCTTATTGGATTATTTGGATTACAATCTGATTTTGATGGGGACATGAATGGAGTAGTATCTACAAACATGGATAAGGCACAAAGACAGGTAGTTACCAAGGATGGTAGACTACCGAAAACATTCTTTGAGATGACAGATAATTTTGATTTAGTGGACACTTGGAGAACAAAGAACCCCTTGGGAAGAGAGGGAACCTTCTTTTCTGAAGCTAAGATGACATGGACTAGAATTGACCAAATATGGGTAACTAGAGGAATGGCACCAAAGATAAAGAAAGTGGAAATCTGCCCAAAAACCTGCTCCGACCATAATGCGGTAAGGATGGAGTTGAAACTAACATCAACTGGCTCCTTCAGATGGAGGATGAATGACACCTTATTCAGGGATGAAGAAGTGTATAAAAAGGCCCAAAAAACCTTGAGAGACTATTTTGAAATAAATATGCATACTAATGTAGAAAAAAGAGTAATCTGGGACGCAAGTAAAGCTGTCATGAGAGGGTTTCTGATACAACAAAATGCAATAAAGAAGAGAAGTCAAAATGAGAAGAAAGATAAAATTTTGGGGAAAATAAAAGAAAGTGAAAAGAAATTGAGAGCAAAACCAAAGTCGCAGGAGATTTTGAGAGAAATAAAGTTATACCAAGTACAATATATGGAAATGATGAATCAGGAAATAGAATGGAAAATTAAACAAATGAGACAAAAACATTTGAATCAGCTAACAAATGTGGGAAATTGCTGGCCTGGCAAATGAAAAAAAGACAAAAATTAAATACTATCACAAATTTAGAAGTGGAAGGAAAGAATATACATAACCCAACTGAGATTAGAAACTGTTTCCAGAGGTATTTTAAACAACTATATACACAAGGGCCACAGAAAGAAATGGATATAGACCGATTTCTGAAGACAAATGGATTACAAAAAATATCCCAAGAAAGTAAATTAATGTTGAACTACAAAATATCTGAACAGGAAGTAGAAGGTGCCATTCAAAACATGCAATTAGGCAAATCTCCAGGACCGGATGGGCTGACTTCTAGATATTATAGATCTTTGAAAGAGTGGTTATTACAACCTTTAAAGGAAGTCTGCAATGAAATATTGGAAGGAAAAGGGCACCAGAGTCTTGGAAAGAGGCGTACATTACACTTATACCGAAGACAGAGACTGAAAAGACTCAGCTTAAGAACTACCGCCCCATATCATTACTTAATGTGGATTACAAAATTTTTGCAGACATTTTGGCCAAGAGATTGAAAAAAGTATTGATGGAAGAGATTCATAAAGACCAAGCGGGCTTTCTCCCGGGAAGACACTTGTCTGATAATTTGAGGAATATAATTGATATTTTGGAAAAATTAGAAGTGAACATAAATACCAAAGCAGTTTTGATATTTGTGGATGCGGAGAAAGCTTTTGATAATATCTCTTGGAGTTTTATGAAGAAGAACCTACAGGGTATGGGGGTAGGCCAAGGTTTTGAAAACGGTATAAGTGCAATTTATTCAGAACAAAAGGCTAAACTAATTGTAAATAATGTGGTGACGGAAGAATTTAGGATAGAAAAAGGGACAAGACAAGGTTGCCCAATTTCCCCATTGCTTTTTATATCGGTCCTGGAGGTTCTGCTGAATTAGATTAGAAGGGACCGGTTGGTTAAAGGTATACAGGTCGGAGCCAAACAGTACAAATTGAGAGCATTTGCGGATGACTTAGTATTGACGTTACAGGAGCCAGAATCTAGTACCAAAAGAGTTTTAGAACTGATTCAAGAATTTGGTCAAGTGGCAGGATTTAAGCTGAATAAGTTAAAGACCAAGGTTTTAGAGAAAAATTTAACACCAATGGAGAGAGGTTTCAGAATGAGACAGGTTTAACAGTGGTTAAGAAAGTGAAATACCTGGGGATTAACATGACAGCAAAAAATGGGAATCTATTTAAAGACAACTATGAAAAATGCTGGGCTGAAGTGAAAAAAGATTTAGAAATTTGGTCAAATTTGAAGCTTTCACTGTTGGGTCGTATCGCTGCGATAAAAATGAAAGTATTGCCTAGAATGTTGTTTTTGTTTCAAACATTGCAAATTGTGGACAAAATGGATTGCTTCAAGAAGTGGCAGAGAGACATTTCTAGATTTGTCTGGCAGGGCAAGAAGCCCAGAATAAAATTTAAGATATTAACTGATGCAAAGGAAAGAGGTGGATTTGCCCTGCCAGACTTTAAACTTTACTATGAATCAGCAGCCTTTTGCTGGTTGAAAGAATGGCTGCTTCTTGAAAACACTGACATTTTGGATCTAGAAGGTTTTAACAATGTATTTGGATGGCATGCATATCTGTGGTATGATAAGGTCAAAGCACATAAAGCATTTAAAAACCATATTGTCAGGAAAGCATTGTTTAATGTTTGGATAAGATATAAGGACTTATTGGAAAATAAAACCCCAAGGTGGTTGTCACTGATGGAAGTGAAAGCTCTGAAAAAGCTCAATATGGAGGTCAAATGGCCGAAATATTGGGAAATTTTGGAACAAGATGGAGATAGACTGAAATTGCAGAGTTTTGAGAAATTAAAAAACAAAGTGCGAGACTGGCTTCATTATTATCAGATAATGGAGGCATACAATTTGGACAAGAAAATTGGTTTCCAGGTGGAAAAATCAAAATTAGAAACAGAACTGTTAGAACCCAAAACTAAGATTTTGTCAAAGATGTATAACTTGCTGTTGAAATGGAATACTCAGGATGAAACGGTGAAATCTGCTATGATTAAATGGGCACAAGATGTTGGACATAACATAATGATGGCTGACTGGGAACAGTTATGGACCACAGGTATGAAGTTTACGGCATGCAATGCCTTAAGAGAGAATATTATGAAAATGATATACAGTTGGTACATGACCCCAGTCAAGCTCGCAAAAATCTATCATTTGCCCGATAATAAATGCTGGAAATGTAAAGAAACTGAAGGTACATTCTTTCACCTTTGGTGGACGTGCCCAAGGATTAAGGCTTTCTGGGAGATGATTTATAACGAATTGAAAAAGGTATTTAAATATACCTTCTTGAAGAAACCAGAGGCCTTTCTCCTAGGCATAGTCGGCCAATTGGTGCCAAAGAAGGATAGAACTTTTTTTATGTATGCCACAACAGTAGCAAGGATACTCATTGCAAAGTATTGGAAGACACAAGATCTACCCACTCTGGAAGAATGGCAGATGAAGGTGATGGACTATATGGAATTGGCAGAAATGACTGGCAGAATCCGAGACCAGGGAGAAGAGTCGGTGGAAGAAGATTGGAAGAAGTTCAAAGATTATCTACAGAAATATTGTAAAATTAATGAATGTTAGAACGATGTTGGATAGAAATTAAGTGATTTCCAGCTGTAATGCTTTAAGGGAACATGAAAAATGGGTTGTTAAGAGATAAAAATCTAAAGTTACTATTTTAAGACTAAAGATTAGGATAAACAAAGAGGGTAAGGATTTGCTGAACCAACAAACTGAACTGGAATACAAAAAAGGGAGGTATGAGGAGGTCCGGGAAACAAGCTAAGGAAAAATAAGCAATAGAAAATCTGAGTGTTTTTAATCATTTTTATTTTGTATTTCTTTTTTTTTCTTTTCATTTTTATTGTAATATTTTAAAAATCCTAATAAATATCTTATAAAAAAAAAAAGAAAGTGTGAGTTTCCAAGGCATGCTCTGGTTCATGGGGTCACGGAGAGTCGAACATGACTAAGACGACTAAACAACAAATTCTGCAATAAATGCTCATATGGGCCATTGGAGGTATACAGTAAATGTTTTCAGAAAAGGTGTGTGGGGCCACAGAATGATGTTTTGAGGTCTGACATCAGGATGGCATTTATTTTCAGCACTTCCTAATTGACTGTAGGACATTCATTCTAACATATTAGCATTTAATGATCGATATGGGGAAACATATGCTTCAGAATCAGCACTTCTGAAATTTAACTTCAGAAATAAAACACACAATTTTTGGGAAATCTTGATACATACCTGCTTTGGAAATGGATGGGTGTACACAATGCCTTCAGCACTGAGACTTGCTTTTCGTCTTGCCACGGGAACTATCAAAATAAGAAAAGGCTTGCAACTTTTAGCGTCAAGCTGGTTTGGAGCTGTTTGGTACTGATATATTTGTCTTACAGCAGGCAATCCAATTAAGATAAGAGTCTAGCATACACAAGGTTTAAAGCCTTACATAATATGGGCCTCATCTACTTGAAGGAAGGCTTCCTCCCATATATCTTTTCCTATGAAAAGAGATCTCCTGAAGGTGCCCTCTTCTGAGCACCTCTGCTGTCAAAAGAACAGCCCCAAGGCTACCTTAGTTGTGGTACCCTAGTTGTTGAGCTCTTTGCCATGGAAGGGACACCTGAATGCCAGCTTTGTTAGAGGGTGGTTCACAGGGACATTTGCATTAGACCCCAGACCTGATGCCTGTTCTCCTCCCCTTTTTATTTTTAATTAACAAATGACACCATAATATTCCAAGAGTGCATTGCTGGAGGGAAGAGCTCAATTAATTTGCAATGATGGGTAAACAAATGAAGAAGGAAGAAGATGTCCAATGACCTTTCCTGGTATGCCCCCACAACCTGAAGTTTACTAAGGTTATGTACCACACTTTATCAAGCTTTACCCATCTCAAATTTGGCAAAATGGAGGTGGGTAGAAAATCTTTGGATCAGCGCTCAAACAAACAAACAAACAAACAAACAAACTGCTTTCTTGTGATGGTAGTCACCAGAAAAGTGAGTACCAGCACCACATCTATTTTTTTTTAACCAAAAAAATACTATTCAGTAGATGCCTATTCAGGAGGCACCTTGTAGACTGGCTGTAGGCGTGATTTATGAGGTAAAGGTATTGGAACTTACCATCTGGATGGTGAATAATGGTGATTTTGTCTGTTAGGAAGAAAAGTAAGCCAAAATGTGGTTACAACAACTGGTCATGTGGGTTTTTTTAGTCGAGTCTTTCCCCAAATGCCATTTGATCTGCATTCATAGAATTGTGAGCATAGATCTACCTCAGAATTTCATATTTTTTTCCATTATTCCAGGGATGAGGAGCCTGCAGTCCTTCAGCTCCTGTCACCCCTGATCATTAGCCCTGCTGGATGGGGATGTTGGGAACTGGTGTCCAATGATACTTAAAAGGCTCTGCATCCCTGCACTGTGGTCTTATCTACACTAGTGTGGCACTGAAAGTGGAAGTTGGCATATCAGGATTGGGCCAATATATCCATTTTGGTTTCTCTCACTTTCTCCTTTTTCCTAATTTTAAATCAAGTTCTCCACACTTCTACATCAGTTTGAAATTTTTTTTTGTTAAAGTCCTCATGAACATTTATCAGCATTTTTGTGTGAATTCTAATATGTACATTTTTTTTGTATGCAGTTTCCCCCAATTTGAACACTTTTGCAAAGCAGTTTCCCGTAATGTAATGCTTTTTGGTACATTATGTTCACTAATACATACACTTATATGCATGCTTTGCACTAGTATATGCGTTTTTGTACACATTGCTTGGCTGGAGAACTGCATTGCAAAATTCGGAGATGTGTGGCTTTCAAAGGATGGCTGTGTTTTGGTTCTCATATTCTTTCAGAAAGTGTGAAGTAGTTAAGTTCACCTTGAAATGGAAACAAAGTTAAACTCTCCCCCATACCTAGTGGCAGGCCAGGTAAGAGAAAGGTCCCACAGGGATACAAAAGCCCTTCCCATGGAAAAAAAACCACTTTTCATGCTGAAAAACGCAGACTGTATTCTTTCACAGTCTCTTACCAACCCCGGACTAAAGAAGGCGAGGGATACAGAGTACTGTGAATCACCTCTAAAGTGATCACTGCTATTCCTTCTCCTGTCTGGGAGCAACCATAGAAAGCTGCCCTCCAGCCCTCTCCATGTTTCTGCCAACCTTTCTGTAGCGCTTGGTTTTTGTTGATGAGTTGTGGCAACTAAGACACAAACTGGAATAGTTCAGGGCAGGGATTGTTCGGCCCCTGACAACTCTCTATAACTTGTTAGGGAGGCCTGATTCAAACTTTGAGCATCCCTGGTATAAACAGAGGGTTTCCTGGTCCAAAAATACTGAATTGCTGTTCAAAACACGTTTCTTGATTCCATTGCCTATAATTTTGGCATTCCACACAGCTGCTCATAATTACTATTATGAATCATTTTGTGTTCTTCTGTGGGAAGGCAGGTCTCCGTATTTGACAAATTGTCACAAAACTATGGAGAAGCCTATCAAAGCCTTTCCATGGGCTTCACTAGTCTTTGGTTCAGACCTTGAAAAAAATATATATACAGTTCCCTTCTGCAGCTTATTGAAATGCTAGTTAAATGTAATTTACCATACGTGCTTTCCTCCTCCGGTCTTTTTCTGATAATAGAGTCTCTGAGCTGGCGTATTTTTTCCTTAAGTAAGAAACAAACACACAAACAACAACAAAAATCAATAGCTGCAGTTGATTGTTAAAAATAATGAATGAGTAGCTGGAGGAGTCGGGCTTTTTAGTATTCTGCACGCTTAAGCTTCCTAGCACAGGAAATCATTTTAAAAGACATTGGGGGGCGGAATCTCTCCCTCTCTGTGTTTTAAAAGAGAATTTTGGTAGAGTTATGATACATAAATATCTCTGGAAAGTTTTCTCTAAGAGCAAATGCAATATCTCCACAGCTGCCACCCACTCCCTCAAGAGGCAATAATTGCCATCCATATGGGCAGCTACCTTGAATTTCATGGCCAAAATAAGAAAGAAGTATTTGTAACCACCCAAGAACAATGAGTTATTAGGAAGAACCTGTTCAGCTTTGTTCTGTCAACTTTAGTTTTGCTGCCCAATCACTCCAGTTGTCTCAGAGAAGGACAAGTCAAGGCTTCTCATAATGGTTTGGATGTCATGCTAAACCATGGCTTGAATTTGGCTTGTTTCCAACCAGAGTTAACATTCACCATAGTTCGTCTGTTTGGACAATGATGGAAAATGAATTGCAACTATGTGAAGTCTCAGTGTTTTCAGAGCTCCTTAAATCTAGCTAATCTCTATGAACACTCAAATGCAAATGGTGAGGTGGACTCCAGAAAGAAACTTCTGCAATATTACATATATTACAAATAAACTAAGAGAGTCAATGCAGGCGGTGCAGCAGTTGTGGCCAAACCCACACCCACACTCATTAAGAACATTGCAAAATCCCACATATAAATCCAATCCTGATGTTGCTCTTTTGGTCTAATAAACTATGCTTTAACAGATGGGGAATGAGCCCTGTGACCATGTACTCTTGTCCCTCTCCTCCCTTTCATCTTTTAAGGGCCTAGTTTTAGTGAAAATATGTTTGTTCCTTAAACCAACTTTCACATAACATTCAAACAAGGACACTGTAAACCTTGGAGACTTATTTGAGGGATTTTTCGTTTGCTTCCTGTTTGGCATTACCATCACTTGTATAATCACTCTGAAAATCAGCCCCAATATATTCTCCTAATATACACACTTTTGCAAACAATTTTCCATAGTGTAATGCATTTTTTAGGATATTTGCACCAATGTATGCATTTTATGCAACATTTTGCATGGTAGACGTATTTTTGTACACATTACTGGGTTGCAGAACGACACTGCAAAATTTGGATAACTGCAAAATTTGAAGGATGGTTGAATTTCTGCCTGCACATTGTATGGAAAGTGTGAATTAGCTAGATTTGCCTTTGAATGTGAATTGATTCAAATTTCTCCCCCACCCCTAACTATGAGAAACCCATGTGGATGTGGTCATTAAAAATGCATGCATGTCATGAAAGTCCTAAGATTTGATTTGTATCCTGGCTATATGTAGAACTATTCACAAGAGTGGGGCAGGTCAGTGGCAGAATTGTCTGCTTTGCCTGCAGGTGATCTCAGGTTCAGTTCATGGCATCTCCAGTAAAACAGATCAGGTGGCAAGGGATGGAAAGGCCTCTGCCTGTCAGGTTTTGGGGAAGCAGCTTCCTCCCTCCCTTTGGCTGTGGATAAGCAGAACAAAGTGAAGAGAGTCTCTTACCATTTAAAGATATTTTAGTTATCACAGCGAAAGAACAAAGAGTCCATTCTCAAAGTAAAGGTCTCCCAATTAAGGTTTCCACCTACTTCCTCCCTCGTCCCTTCCTTGTCTTGCAACCTGATCTCACAACCACTATGCCTTCTATGTAGCTACCTTATCTAATCTCTTTGACCTTGGACTGAGCGGCTGGACACATTCCAGTGAACCAGAGTCTGTTAACTCTCTTCTTCTCAGTTCTTATTCTCCTAGCTGTTCCCCACTCAACTCTGCCCAGCTCTGCAAACTCTGCAAACCACTGCTCCAAATCTATACTGCTCCACTGCTCCTGGGCAGCTTCAGGATCCTGGTCAGGGGGAGGGGGAGGCTCCCACCATTCCTCATCAGAGCAGCACTCCTCAGCCTGGTCTCTGACACTGCCTGAGATCCTGGAGGGATGCTGACAGCCAGAGAAGATAATACTGGACCTCATGGACCAAGCGACTGGCTTGGCACAAGGAAGCTCCCTATGTGTCTAACACTGGTACACCCAACTCAGGTTTGAAAACACACAACACAGGAGAAGAAGAAAAATGTGAAACCCACTAAAAGAGCAGAGATATCTTGATGAACATAGCAGCTAGCTTGTAACCACCACACAAAATACATGAGGCTTCTACCTGCTGGGTCGCTTCTAATCCACTTCTGTGATTCTGCCATTCTTTAAATTTCTCCAGAGCTTCATCCACAGAAAGTATCCCCTTCTTCACCTGCTCCTGCAATAGGATGAGCTCTTCTTGCCTCAATGGGATGCTTGGCTTGACGGTGCTGTATGTGGTCCTGTCACCTTGAGCTTTATCTTCAGGGAGCAAATGCAAACATTCAGGACAGAAGCAAAAAACCCTTTTTGAGCTGCATATATGATAGAAATCTAGATTTCTGAAGCAGAGAAAATGGACAGCCTAAGTGCAATTACTAGATACCTTTTCAGTGTGGTGTAGTGGTAAAATGATATAATGGTTATCAAATCAGACTAGGGGTGGGGAGACACAGTTTAGTTGCCTAGGCTAATTTCACTATATTTCAGCCACACAGGGTTGTTGAGAGGATGCAAATGGAAGGGGGTGACCCACCTTTAGCCCCCTGGAAGAAAGGCAAGATATAAAGGAAATAAATACATAAATCCAAACGGTAAAGGTCTCAATGATGGGGGGAAGATGTTGCTTCACCCTGACTCCTTAGAGACACCAGAACATTTAGCTTATTTTCCTTTGTCAGCTTTTGTATTATTAGAGCTTTGCCACAACTCCCATTAAGACAGGGATAGGGAACCTGTAATTTTCCAGATGATGGTGGACTCCAGCTCCCATTAGCCCCAGCATGGTCAATGGTGAGGAATGATGGAAGTTGCTGACATACAAAATTTGGATAACTGCATATCTCCCATCCCTGTACCAAGAGATGAGTAACAGGTAGACCTTTCCCTAGGACCTTGTGTGGTGTAGTGGTTAAGAGCGGTAGTCTCGTAATCTGGGGAACCGGGTTCGTGTCTCCGCTCCTCCACATGCAGCTGCTGGGTGACCTTGGGCTAGTCACACTTCTTTGAAGTCTCTCAGCCCCACTCACCTCACAGAGTGTTTGTTGTGGCAGGAAGGGAAAGGAGAATGTTAGCCGCTTTGAGACTCCTTCGGGTAGTGATAAAGCGGGATATCAAATCCAAACTCTTCTTCTCTTCTTCTCCCCTACCTGCTAGGTCAGATTTGAATCTGGATCCCAACTGGAATATCAATAACTTTTAAGCTCCAGGATTAAATTCTATGTTGATAAATGAGACGAGTGCTGCCAGGGATTCCAATATCTAGCTGCGATGAGGGTTTCATCCTGGTACACAAAGCATTCACATTCATGGCCATTTGCCTGATTAATTCACTCTCTGTTGAATTTAGTTGTCATTGGAGTTCCTTTTGTGAGACAGCACTGTACCATTAACTAATTATGAAACTCAAGAAAGGAATCACTGACACATTACATTAAGGCCAGGCGCTTTGGTTCATAAGCAAAGACAGGAAATCTAACACTACCAAGATAGCTTTCCACAGCAACCAGTGTGCACACCACACTTTCCTGAAGACAAATTCTGTGTCATACTGAATTATCTCTATACTAGAGCTGTACACCATTGTTGTTGTTGTTTAGTAGTTTAGTCGTGTCCGACTCTTCGTGACCCCATGGACCAGAGCAAGCCAGGCACTCCTGTCTTCCACTGCCTCCCGCAGTTTGGTCAAACTCATGCTGGTAGCTTCGAGAACACTGTCCTATGCAATATTTTTCTTTACAGCATTGGACTGTATACAGCTTAAAGCAGCTCGACATCCTCTTGAGTTGGTGCTGGGAAGGTAAAATAGGTTGGCCAGGAAGCTCACTTGCATTACAGTTGCCTGGCCTTCACTGTATTCCGCATGGATGAAGATCAGACATTCAGTTTGCAATCATATGCACGCTTACCGAGGTGTAAGCTGCATTGCACACAGTGGAACTTACTTTGGAGGAAAAATATATGGGGTTGTGCTGCCTGGCAACTGAAGGATGATGTGCCAAAACTCCCCATGGAAGTGACCTCGAAACACGTCAGAAGTGCTGGTTCAATTAATAGCACGATGGCCAATTAATGATTAGATAGGAACCCTGTAGTAGTAAGCTGGTGATGATGAGCTCTGACTAATTTTCTGTAGAATAACATGGTACCTCCTCCGTCATGTTAATGCTTCCTTCTTGTGTGAGGGCTCTTTTGTGGTCCCTCAACCAACAATATATGGATCCTCATTTTATTGTCTTGTACCAATGAAAAGCTTTAAAAGATCAACATTCTGATTTGCAGTTTTTATTGTACCCGGTGGGCTACATGTAGCATGGTAGCATGGAGAATTTGGCCAGCCTATTAAAAATGCATTTATTTCAGCAGGTGATTGATGCATAGAAATTATTTGAACTTGTAGAGCAGTAACCTTGGACATTGGTGCACCAGCAGCGTCAATAATACCGATATTTAATCATCTCCTAGGAAAATGTTACAATGCCGCTTGAAGGTTACAGTAAACTCACTGCTCATAAAAATGGAACAAACAGTCAAGAATTCTCTTTTCATTGATTAAATGGCTATGAACACAGTGGTGTCCTAAACAGGGCACAAGATAATATGCTGACCGCCAACTCTACATATTTGCTCAAAAGAAAGTCCCAGTGGTCTGAACTGGAGGTTTCCCCTTGCTAATTGTGCATAGCTCTGTATCCTTAAATTGTTGTCATGTCCGCGAGTGGTGCTGTGGGTTAAACCACAGAGCCTAGGACTTGCCGATCAGAAGGTTGGCGGTTCGAATCCCTGCGACGGGGTGAGCTCCCGTTGCTCGGTCCCTGCTCCTGCCAACCTAGCAGTTTGAAAGCACGTCAAAAGTGAAGTAGATAAGTAGGTACCACTCCAGCGGGAAGGTAAACGGTGTTTCCGTGCACTGCTCTGGTTCGCCAGAAGCGGCTTAGTCATGCTGGCCACATGACCCGGAAGCTGTATGCCGGCTCCCTCGGCCAATAAAGCGAGATGAGTGCTGCAACCCCAGAGTCGGTCCCGACTGGACCTAACAGTCAGGGGTCCCTTTACCTTTACCCAGTAAAGGAAGTTACAAAAACTAAACTGCATCCACTTGGAAACTTCTGATTCTCTGAGTTAGAACTTAAGACCTGAGCTTGGTGGTCAGTAGAGTTGCACAGCACAGCTCCTGACTGAGAACTATACCACTGGAAGTGGGAGGCTCCCTTTTCTAATGCCTTGCAAGTAGAAAAGTAGTAGAGCAAGCATAGCATTCTTTCTAACAGTGTTATTTCTGGTGGGGAGCACTAAAACAAGTCCTGAAATGGGATGTTCCAAGGAAAAGGAGGAGGCGGGACTGAGCCAGTTTGGGATCTGCTGGATCCTGCACCAGTTTTGCTGTCATCAGATGATGGTGTCAGGCCTGATCTGGACCTGATCTCTGTACCAGTTATTCTGCCCTTCCCTTCCACTGCTCCTCCTCTGAGTGGCTGGGCTGTGGCTATGGCATTGGTCCTGTCCCTCGAGAAAGCTCTGCTGGCTGGTTGGATTGTGCCCTAAGTCTCAATCTAGCTCTGTAACTGTCACATTTGCCTTGTGATTGCTACCATTGGCAGCACAGCCTGGCAAAGAACAGTAAGAAATGAGAAAAGACTGTAGAAGAATAGATGCATTTAACATCCAGTCCTAGACTGACAATGTAAACTTACCCTGCCACAAGTTGTGTCAGGGAACCAGCAAATGGGAGTTTTTGCAGATTGTTTAATTGGGTTATTATACTGCCATGAACAGCCTCTCTGGACCATATATATATATGGATATATAAATCAACAAAATCATCATACCTGGTTTTCTGGCAGCACACAGCAACTTCTCATTACCAGCATGAGTTCTGGTTGCCTTCTGCTGAAAAACTACACGAAAAGGAAATTAGGAAATGAAAGATGGCAGCAGAATAAGTATGGTGATTACTTTTCAGAACTCCAGTGCCTCACAAGAGCATCCAAGGACCTTGAAAACAGATTATAAGGAAATAGCATGAGCTCTCACAGTGTCGATGGGCATTATTTTGGAATACTTCTGGGCAGAGGCAAATTCAGAAGTGCAGTATCTCTTCACGATGCTCACAGCCATGCCTCCTTACAGCCGCACCCCCTCAAAGTCACACCCCTACTAAGATTATACAAGCGTCTTAGATTATACAATAATCTTATAATCATTCAATAATAAAAATAATTAGGGATGCATTGTAATGCAGATCTCTCTGTGTTGCCTTTCAGATAGATCTACTATTTTCTGTGTGAATGATTTGGAGTGTATCAATATCTTTTTTTCAGAGCAGCTTAAGTCGCCTCTTCCTTGAAGTTCCTTTGTCCATAACAAAACTTGCACACCATTCTCTTCAGACTGAAGCGCCTCCCTGCAGCCTTGCCCTCCCCTTCCTGGTCCAGCTCTCCGCTGCCCCAGACCACACTTGACCACACATGGTAGGAAGCTTGGTTGTGCCAACAAATAGAGAGGACATATCCGTCAATCTGCTGATTTATCTCAGTTTCTCATTTCTTAAATCTGAAGTTCAGTTCTCCACATTTTCTCAACAGGATGTGATTTTTTTTACACATAGAAGTCCTCATGATAATCCATCAGCATCCTAGCAGGAATGTTTCCCACAAGACACCCATTTTTTGTATGCAGTGGTTTAGTGGTTAGAGTGCTGGACTAAGACCTGGGCTCAAACTCCCACTGGGTGACCTTGGTCCAGTTGCTGTCTCTCTCGGCCTAAACGACCTCACAGGGCTGTTGTGAGGATAAAATGGGAAGAGGGGGAATTGTAGACACTTCTTGAGTGAGGTAGAAATGTAATAATAAACAAAAAATAAAAATAAACATGCACATCTTTGCAAGTTGTCAGGCACTGGGCAGAAGAGGAATGGTAGAGGGAAATAATGGGGGAGGAGGGAGAGGAAGCACCAGGAGGGTGACAGCTGACGGACACAGTGTCTTTAGAAAGCATTCCAGAACTCCCCTCTCCCAGAACACGGCAAGCCTTGAAAGTAGGAGAGCAAAGAGCTCAGAAGCAGAGGGCCCTCAGCGCCACCTGTAGGGGAGATGAAGACAATGACAAAAGAGGAAGTGGGAGGAAAGGGGGGTGAAGAGTCACTCAGGACAGCGCCACTATCCCAAGAGGCTGTGTTCCAAGCCTCTCTCTGTAAATATTGAAAAAAAAGCAGATGGTAAGAACTTGTCTTGTATGTTCCTGGCAACTGGCCATGGGAGTTGCTTACTGCCGCCTGACACAAGAATTCTCTCCCAATATAATATATATTGTGTGTTATTTTCATCAATATATACATTTGTATGCATACTCTACCCCAGGGGTCAGCAAACTTTTTCAGCAGGGGGCCGGTTCACTGTCCCTCAGACCTGGTGGGGGGCCAGACTATATTTTGAAAAGAAAAACAAATGAACAAATTCCTATGCCCCACAAATAACCCAGAGATGCATTTTAAATAAAAGCACACATTCTACTCTTGTAAAAACACACAGATTCCCATACCATCCATGGGCCGGATTTAGAAGGTGATTGGGCCGGATCCGGCCCCCGAGTCTTAGTTTGCCTACCCATGGTCTACCCTAATATACACATTTTTCTATTCGTTGTTTGGTTGGAGAAGTGTGTTGCAATTTTGGTGGGAAATTTTGCTTATGCTCAGGGGGCAAGGCAGGGCAGCAATGAGGTTAAGGTGAACCAATGGGAGTGCCAGGCTGTCTCCACCGATGTGTCCGCATTGCCCGGACCATATTGCTGTGCTGCCCGCATCAACCCAGTATGTGGCACAGCCACTACTGCCAGGTCACAGGCTCCACAGTGCCACCCCACTAACATGGCCGCTCCTGCAATGCCATCATGTTTCACGCCAGTCTAGTGTCAACTGCTGGCAGCAAAGGGGTCAGGGTTTGAAGAGAATTCTATCCTACCCAATGGATGTTAAGTCATGGGCAGGCCAAATGTTAATGGCCAAGGGCAGGAAAATGAAGAGTGTGTCCTCTAACAAATTACCCGAAGAGAAAATAAATTGGGTCCAGGACAGGGATACATTCAACAATGTCCCTGATTAGGAAGTACTTTAACTGATAGGCCTGGGTATTTCTGCTGAGTTTTGCAATGCCACAGCAATGAAATAAATGGAATTACTTTTCCAGCTGTTCAAAGTCAAATTGCTAGAACCACTTTACATTCAGTGTCTTGCTGAAAATCATTTTCAGCTGGCAACAAACACTCTGAGTGGGCGAGGTAAGAGAAAATAAATTATTCACTTTTTTTGGACGGAATTAGGAAAACATGCAACTAAACTGCAACACAGCAGGCACACGGGCATGCTATGATTTGAGGAGAAAACAGTGAAGAAACATGTCGACATTTCTCACAACACTTAACAAGCCAAGGCACCCGATTTTGGCAATGATAAACTGGAGCACATCCAGTGGATGGACAGCATATTGAAGGTCTGGAAACTTAAGTCCTATGAGGAATAGGTGAAAGAGCTGGGTATGTTTCATCTGGAGAAGAGATGATTAAGGGAAGGATTGCCCCATAGAAGATGGAGGAGACTTGTTCTCTCTCTGTGAGATCTTGTGGGCTCTGTGATATTCTGCAAGAATTCAATGAGTTCTTGTGAGATTTCAGCAAGATCTTGTCAGAAGCTGCTGATACTTCACCAGGGGCTGAAGTGGTGGGATGAGTGAGGTGCCCCCAAGAGTGCCACCGCTTGAGCTTCCACTGCCCAAGGTGGCTGTTTCACCCTGTCTCATGGGCAAGCGGACCCTGCTCTTGCTCCACAGAGGACCTATTGGTGGAAATTGCAGTAAAGCTGTTTGGCAGTGGAACATACTGCCCAAGAGCTGAGGATCTTTCATCCACTGGAGATACTTAAGTGGCTGATGGATGACTATCTGTTAGGGGGTGCAGTTTTATCTTGGGCTGTACATTTTTTATTGATAAGGGGTTTGGACTAGATGAACCATAGAATCATAGATTTGTACAGCTGGACGTTACACCTGGTCATCTAGTACAACCCTCTGCAATGCAGGAATCTCAGTTAAAGCATCCATGACAGATGCTTAAATCTCTGCTTAAAAACCTCCAATGAGTCCACCACCTTCCAAAGTAGTTTGTTCCACTGCCAAACAGCTCTTACTGTCAGAAAGTTCTTCATGATGTTTAGTCAGAATCTTATTTCTTGTAACTGGAAGCCATTGGTTTAGGTCCTACCCAAGTTTGCTCCATCTTCCATGTGACAAGCTGTCAGATATTTGAAGATTTCTATCACATCTCCCCTCAGTCTTCTCTTTTCTGGGACAAAGATACCCAACTCCCTCAACTCTAAGGCTTGGTTTCCAGACCCTTAATCATCTTGGTTGTCCTCCTTTGTACACATTCCAGCTTGTCAATATCCTCCTTTAACTGGGGTGGCTAGAACTGGACACAGTACTCAAGGTGTGCTCTGACTAAGGCAGAATAGTAAAGGTAAAGGGACCCCTGACCATTAGGTCCAGTCTTGACCGACTCTGGGGTTGCAGAGCTCATCTCGCTTTATTGGCCAAGAGAGCCGAATAGAGTGGTACTATTACTTCCCTTGAACTGTTGATGCAACCTAGAATAGAATTCACTTTTTTTTTGCTGCTGCATCACACTGTTGACTCATGTTGAGCTTGTGGTCTACTAAGACCTTGAGATCACATGTACTTCTTGCAAGCAAGGGATTGTATAGAACTGGTTCTTCCTGCCTCTATTGAAATTCATTTTGTAGTTTCAGCCCAGTTCTCCATTCTGTTAAGGTCATACTGGATCCCAGGGCCTTGGACAAAACCCTGTGACACCCCACTTCTCACTTTTTTCCCCAGGATGGCATGAACAACCAGCTATAAATCCACTTAACTGCTTTGTATGGAGAAGAACCTGGGTTTAATCCCCAGCATCTCCAGGTAGGATTTGGAGAGACCCATGCTTGAAAGCCTGGAGAGTCACTGCCAATCCACGTGGACAACCCTGCACTAGATGGACCAATGGTGTGGTTCAGTGTAAGGCAACTTCCTATGGCTGTGGAGGCAGGTGGGGGCAGTCATCTGCAGCTTTCCATTGACTCCAATGAAACTTTTGAAAATTGACGCCGTAATTTCAGGTAGAGCTGATCCTTGAGCAAGCACAAGTCCTGCTGGACTCAATCTGGTTCCCAGTACATAAGCACCTTATTGTATATTGATTCAGTGCAGAATTGCTTTGGGAATGAGATGAGATGGTTTCAGATGATATCGTGAACCAAAGCAAGAAAGAGCTATAGAGACTACATTCAGAAAACATTAACTCTGGTGAATTCAGTTCCTTCTCTCTGATCTTATTTTCTAAGCTTTCACTATCTAATGTAGGATGTTGAGGCAGCAAAAAACTGATTTGCTCCATTGGAAGCACCACCTGTTATGACAAAAGCCCTCAAATATCATTGATGACATTATACAAGTCTTGTTGACTTGAAGGAAACACTCGATGTGAATGAAACAACATTAAGGGAAATTGTGCTTTGAATGAGAATGTGCTTGCTATCAGACTGTCAAAATAAAACTGCAGTTCTAGCAAGAACTCAGGCTGGTGGGTGGAAGGTTAAGAGATGTGCCCCTGAAACACATTGCATCCCAACAAATAAAGCTGAATGCCAATGAACGGGCCAGTGAAGGCAGACTCAGAGACTGGGTTAAGTTGTTCAATCTGCTTCTTTTTGCTGCTTATTTTAATGCTACAGAAACGCTAGCAACATGGTTCCATTTACTATGAAGGTACCATTGCTGCACAATGTAGCCCTCCCTTTACCCCCAGTTGGACTGGTGAGGGGTCCCTCTGAGCCACTGGGGACCATCCGTCACTGCTGGGTTGGGGCAAGAGATGACCCCAGGCTTGCATATAAGCCTGTATTGGCCGCTTATGTTTTCCCTTCATTACCTAAAAGCAGCTAAGGTGTGATGTCTTGGAGTGATTTGCTAACGGAATTGTCATGGTGGCAGGAGAAGAGTTAGCCCCTCCCACGGCTGCTTTTGTTGATGGGGGATGCATTCACACATATTCAATGTAGTGCCTAGTTTTGCTTTGAGGCTGCATTTTTTTGTACAGTTACTTGAGAATAAGCTCTGTTTCTATTATTATTATTATTATTATTATTATTATTATTATTATTATTATTTACATACCACCCTATACCCTGGGGTCTCAGGGCAGTTCACAGAATAATATCAAAATATAAAACCACAAAATACATAATCAGAATAAAAAACAACCCAATAACCCCCCCAAACCCCCCACATTTTAAAAGGGCATTGGATGTCAATCAAATCAACCAAAGGCCTTGTTAAAAAGGAATGTTTTTGCCTGGTGCCTAAAGGTGTATAATGAAGGCGTCAGGTGAACTTCCCTGGGGAGAGCATTCCACAGATGGGGAGTCACTGCAGAGAAGGCCTGTTCTTCTGTTGCCACCCTCCGGACCTCTTGAGGAGGAGGCACATGAAGAAAGGCCTCAGAATATGATCTCAGGGTCTGGGTAGGTTCATATGAAAAGAGGCGGTCCTTGAGGTATTGCGGTCCTGAGCCGTTTAAGTCTTTATAGGTCAAAACTTTGAATTGGGCCTGGAAACTAATCTGCAGCCAGTGCAGTTGGACCAGGATCGGTGTAATATGCTCAAACCGTCTTGCTCCAGTGAGGAACCTGGCCTCTGAATTCTGCACCAGCTAAAGTTTCTGAACCATCTTCAGAGGCAGCCCTACATATAATGCATTGCAGTAATTTAACCTTGAGGTTATCAAAGCATAGACAACAGGAGTTAGGCTATCCCTGTCCAGACAGGGGCGTAGCTGGGCCACCAGCCAATGCTGATGGAAGGCACTCCAGGCCACTGAGGCCACCTGAGCCTCAAGCAACAGCAAAGGATCAAGGAGTGCCCCCAAGCTATGAACCTGCTCCTTCAGAGAAAGTGTAACCCCATCTAAAGCAGGCAATCTCCCACCCATCCAGTCTAGGAAACCACCCACTAACCCGCCCTCAGTCTTATCTGGATTGAGTTTCAGTTTGTTGGCTCTCATCCAGTCAATTACTGAGGCAAGACACTGGTCCAGCACTTCCACTGCCTCATCTGCAGATGTAAAGGAGAAATAGAGCTGAGTGTCATCAGCATACTGCTGACAACACACTCCAAACCTCCGGATAACCCCACCCAGCAGTTTCATGTAGATGTTAAACAACGTAGGGGGTAGGATTGAGCCCTGTGTAACCCCACACTGAAGGTTCCACGGGGCTGAAAAGCAAGTAACACCCTCTGGGAGTGGCCATCCAAGTAGGACTGGAACCACTGCAAAGCGGTGCCACCCACTCCTAGTTTGGAGAGTTGCTCTAGAAGGATACCATGGTCGATGGTATCGAAAGCCACTGAGAAGTGTTTGGATTTGGATTTGATATCCCGCTTTATCACTACCCGAAGGAGTCTCAAAGAAGCTATCATTCTTCTTTCCCTTCCTCCCCCACAACAAACACTCTGTGAGGTGAGTGGGGCTGGGAGACTTCAAAGAAGCGTGACTAGCCCAAGGTCACCCAGCAGCTGCATGTGGAGGAGCGGAGACGCGAACCCGGTTCACCAGATTACGAGTCTACCGCTCTTAACCACTACACCACACTGGAGAAGTCAAGAAGAATTAACAGGGACATGTTTCCCTTGTCTCTCTCTTGACAGAGGTCATCATACATAGTAGAACTTCCTTCTGAAAAAGCATGCACAGGTTTGCAGTGCACATCCCATGGAAAGCAAGAAGACTTTACCGTAAAGTATGTTTACTACTGGAATGTGTTTGTGTGGCAAATCAGAGAGGGGCAGGGAATTACAACAGCGCTAAGCAGGCTTCTTCCTTGGCAGTCTTTTCCAGGGATGCCAATGAGTCAGCAGGCACAGAGACTGAAGTATCCCCCTTAGGCCTGAGGCAATTCTCTAAGGTCAGAGCTGAACTACATGGCAGATCACTGTAAGCAAAACTGCACCTGTCTCTGTGGTTAAGCTGTGCTAACTTCAGTCTCCAGGGCGGATGAGCCTGTGCCTTTAATGAGCACAAACCTTTTGCTATGTGCTATGAAACAAAATGCTCTCATGCATTTATTTAACAGTTATTCTGACATTGTGTAATTGGAAGCATATTGAAATAACCTGGTGAGGAATATTAAGAAGCCAAGGAACAGGAAGGAAGCGCGTCGAGAGTGCACGCCATCTGGACATAAAGCCATTTGGCACAACGGCGTGGCTTCGTCTTGATGAAATTTTCCTATGTTACTGAATATTTATCTGAGTATAGATGGTGCAATGATTGAGGGCAGGGGGAGGTGTGTACATAGTAAGAAATAGATCCCACTCTTTCCTGAAGGGGACAACATGTTTTGCAATGTGCACCTGATATTATTGCAAATTGAACTAAACATTGGTGGGGAAACATTTCCCTGCTTTAACCATTTTCGTATGTGTAGCCTTGCTGGTTGGGGATGATGGGAATTATAATCCCAAACACCAAGACGACACCAGGCTGAGAAAGCTTGATCTCATCTTACTCCATTTCCTGAACTGAGACATTTAGTCTTCAATTGTTCATTGCCTTTTGCTAGCTAATTACGCATAAATGACAGCCTTGAGATAACTACCACCCCCAGATTCACTGCCAAACTCCTTGTTAAATGAGAATCTGTTTACAGATCATCCGCTGATGTTTTCAGTGCAAAAAAAGGGGGAAAAAAGCTTTCTCCCAAAGGCCTTGTGAAGTGTAGTTCCTTAAGTGAGCTAGGAATATCCAGTTAATGATTCTTAACATGGTCTATATGGTGCCTCTGGCACCAAATCATGACAGTTAAACTGGTATAAAACTGATGTAAGTACCTTAGAAATTCTCAGGGGTCTTTAAAAATAAAATAAAATTAAGAAACATTATTCAACTTGCTTGTTTCCAGTCTGCACTGATGCTTTCTCTTTTCCTGTTCCTCAAGGATTTGCCACTGCAGCAAATCAATGCTGTTGTGTTACGTTGCAAACCTCCCTGTGATCTTTGGATGAAGGACAGTATGTAAATTTAATAAATAATAATAACAATAACGCCTGGATTCTAGCATTGGGTACTCTACGTTATGGGTGGACTCCTGATAGGCACTTAATGGAGCCTGTGGCTGGTCTGAATAGAGTTTAAAAAGCAGAGTTAACCAAAAATGCTTTGGTGCCTGAATCTTACTTCATCACTGGCAACAAGAGAATATCCTGAGCAGGCGTTAAGGGACACATAGCTCTGCCTTCCAACCCATAATAACTCTTTATCCACTAACAAAACCATAATATTTAAGGTTTTTATGTGTTGTGTTTTTCTGCAAAGAGCTGAACATGAATGTACAAAGAATGTTAGACTGAGATTATTCTGTATATTTACAACAGATATTCGCTGGGCATTAATGGAACTTTATGAAAAGTGAATGGCAAACAAAAGTTACCTTGTGCTATGTAAGGAGTGCTCTCCTCTTTTGTAGGTGCAAACAAAGGACGAGGTGTGGGCGCTGGTGGCCGGTTCATAATAAAGGACCTGCCACCTTTTCTTCGCTCTTTGTTGTCGTTGTCAAAAATGATATCGTACACACCATCATCCACAAGAGCAGAGCTGTATGGATCTTCCTCTTCTGATTTCTCAGATTCACCTTCTTCTTTCTCCTCCTCGTGTATCTCATCGGTTTTCTTTTGTTCTTTCTCTGCTTCCCATTCTACAAAACACGCACAACAGCAACATCATTATCCAGGCTCCTGGGTTTCCAGGGTGAATGAAAACACCACCATATGCCTGTTAAAATAAGCCTTAGTAAAAATCTTTGCACGTTGCATACAGAGACCACGTATACCTCTATAAATTGGACAGCTCAAAATCACATTTATTCCCTTAAGACCACAGTTGCCTGCCATTTCTATTAGAGGCAAAATGGCCTTTTAAAAACAATACAAATTCATCGGGATGAACTCTTGTAAACTGCTATATAAATGCTAAAAAAAATATTATGGGCTCCTTATAATTGTGTAATCTGGAGAGGTGTGTGTCTCGCTTTAAGCTCAAAAGAGTAGTGAGGATGTTAGACAGTGCGAAAAACACAGTCATTGCTGGGTACTTTAAGGACTTTTGGGAAACACAAATTTGCCTAAAAATTGCGTATGCTGTACTAATTTGTATGAACAGGGGCTTCTGGTTGAATTAAGATTCTGGGAGACTGAGTCTCACCAGGGCAGATATTTTGTACTGTTGACATAGAAATTCTGCAAAAACCATTCTCAGTAAGCCCAGATTCCTGCATTGCAGGTGTTTGGACTAGATGACCCTCGCAGTCCCTTCCAACTCTACAATTCTATGATTCTATGTACACGTGTTTGTGTGAAAGAAGCTCAAGGTGCCCATTCATACAGTTCAGCTACTGCATACACAGCAACACGGACAGTAAACCCATTGGATGCAGAAAAGACCTACATTCAGAGATATTTCCTCGCTGACTGTTAACGAAAGGCAAATTAAAACAAGTGTGGCATCCTGTGTTTCATATGAAGAAGAGACCCTTCCCAACTTGCCATTATTATTATTATTATTATTATTATTATTATTATTATTATTATTCCACTATGTTAGCATTCTGACCTCCCGGCTTCTACAGGGGGCACTCATGCCACTGGCAAACAAACCTTTCCCGGGAAGGATGGCAGCGGTGGGTTGACTCCAGGTTGCTCTGCAGCTATTCTCTTGCAGTACCTGCAGCAAATGACTCTCTAAAGAATGTGGATGGATGACTCATTACAGTTTCTCTTTGAAAAAGAAACGATCGCACCCCTCCCAAAGATGAAACCAACCTAATGCTTCACAGAAACACAGCGCAATTAAACTGAAAGATTCATACAGAAAGCGCTTCAGAGGGATTCAGCTTCATCCCCAGGATATTAACTGGCACTGCCTGGAGTTAGTGCGCACGTCTGCCTGCTTAGAGACACGTCCGTGATGCAATAGAATTATTCATGTGTGGCGTCGCCATGTGCCAGTTTGGCGGGCCGACGAGCCATTCCAAACCCTTTCCAATAAATCCTTTGATCCCTTCTCCCCTCCTCTGTCGGCTGCTCTTGTGGGAACAGTGGCACTTCAAGGGCACAAGCCACGCAAAAGGTGATTTGGCAAGAGAGCAGTATCTTTATCATGGGCGGCAGCACCCACCATATTTTATGGCAGTTAAAAAGACTCCAGACTATTTTGTCGCAACACTTTGCGCATTTCTATGCTCCATTGTTATATTGGTTTATGTGAACCAGTTATACCTGTATCTATATCTATATCTAGATCCAATATTGATAGGGCTGGTTCAGGTGAGATTTTCTACAATAGCAGGGGTCAGCAAACTTTTTCAGCAGGGGGCCGGTCCACTGTCCCTCAGACCTTGTGGGGGGCTGGACTATATTTTGAGGGGGGAAATGAACGAATTCCTATGCCCCACAAATAACCCAGAGATGAGTTTTAAATAAAAGCACACATTCTGCTCATGCAAAAACACCAGGCAGGCCCCACAAATAACCCAGAGATGCATTTTAAATAAAAGGGCACATTCTATTCATGTAAAAACACGCTGATTCCTGGAACGTCCGCTGGCTGGATTTTGAAGGCGATTGGGCTGGATCCGGCCCCCCGGGCCTTAGTTTGCCTACCCATGTACAATAGCATTCAGAAACTTGGAGGCCACCATATATTGCAGAATTACAACACATGTTGCCCCTGACCATTAGCTATGGTGGATGGAGCTGATAGGGGATGAAGTCGAACAAGATCTGGCTCCCTGTTCCTGTTCTAAAATTACTCTGCTTTACACTGGGTGACCCCATTGACAGCATTGTGTAGATAGCCCAGTCAACACTGGCACAGGGACAAGGTTGGTGCCAGGCAGACCTCCCTATGGAGAGAATTTAATAAACAAGGAGCTACTACAGAGGAGGCCCCTGTGGGAGGGCATTAAATGTTTCACATGTGCAGACCTCACTTTTCACCATGTGTCTTGTTATGTACTGAGTTGAATAGGATCCAAAATGCAGCAGTATGATTGGTCCTAGAACAATAGGATCCAGAATGCAGCAGTCTGATTGGTTCACAAGAGCCACCCAATTCAGCTCCAGGTGGAAGTGAATCCGCAATCTGATTGGCCTATAGGAGAATCCCGGAATTAGCCAATCATGTGGGGCCCATTGTGTAAATAATGTATATAAAGCAGACATTCTGGGGGAACTTCCATTCCTCCTCACCACTATGAGCTGAATAAAGAGCATGAAATCCACTCTCGACTCCAAGTATATTTCATGTCTCAATGCAGAAAAAATAAAATGTACAACATGCAAAATTTAAAATGAGTTTTAAACATCAGAGAGCAGAACACTGGTACAGCATTCACAGTGCAAAGGCTTCCTGAAATGAAACCACTTTAACCCGATGTCTGACCCTTAGCAGGAATGGTTTCTGCCTGGTTTCTAATGGGAGAGAATTCCATAGAGTCGTGCTCCGGTCAATGCAGGAATGCTACTGGTGCTCTCCCAGGCAAACTCAGTGATCAACTTGGGGCATACTGGTGAAGGCAATCCTGGGCCAAAGTTGCTTTATACACGAGTGTAAGAACCTTGAACATGGCCCCAAAGCAGTTGGGAAGTTACTGCAGGCTTTTAATGCTGGTGCCATGTGCTCATGGTAGTCTGTTTCCATCCCCAGCAACAGGCAGCATAAAATGGTAGCACAGAAATATCTAGATTAATTAAATAAATACTGCAAATATTGAGGATTTGTTTGCTTTCATGACTCCGTACCTGGGGTCCAGTTGAAAACCTCATCTTGTCTTGCGGTGGTAACTGGGATTCGAGGCGGCAAAGGTGGCCTCTCAGGGTAGACCACATTTCTGCTTCTTCCTTTAGGAGCCTCCTCCTCCTCCTCACTTGAGCATTGTGGATTTCCCCCTAATTTATTTTCTCCTCCTCCTGTTTTAGCCTCTCTTTCCTGTTCTTCTCCATCACCAACCATTCTTGAATCCTTCTGGATTTTCCAGCAGGCTCCAGGCTGTTCTCTTGGGTTTGGCCTGGCGGGTAATGCTGAGGAGGACATATTATCATTATTTCGTTTTAAAATACAGTATGCCATCTGGAAACATTTCATATTTCACAGATTTCCACTGAAGCAACGGCAGCACTGCTTATAAAACTTTCATGAACTAATACAGTGGAAAAGCTGACACATGTATAACTCCAGTGAAAAAGCACCTAAAATATTTATTAAATGAATGGTGGAGGTTTCCATTAGATTTTGTAACTTTCCTGTGTAACATATTCATGCGTGTGATAATGCTAGGCTTTCTCCAAATGGTGGTGGAAACCCAGAACTGTGTCTGCTCCCCTTCATGCGCCCCCCCACTCCGAGCTCAAATTGCTCGATTATGAATGCAGCACAGCACATAGGAGTGAGTCGAGCAGGCTATAACTTATGCAGCTGTATGGGGTTATATATTTTTAATAGACTGTGACTCGCCAGCTTATCATTTGGCATTCTTTAACATGGAATAAATGTTGCCCTTAGGAGAAGAAATGTTGGAATTGCTGCAAAGATGGTCCTTTAATGGGTTTGTGAGGCCCTGGCGTCTCACTGAGCACACATATAAAGGATGAAGCCATCCAGGGTAGTGGGGAAGGCGAATGGCTTCCACATAGTTGGGTTTTTTTAGAGACAGTCTCTATTTTGGATGAAATGATGCCCCTCGTACATTCCATTTGCTTGCAGCTGCAGTTAACAATGTCTTTGCCCATTGATAGCTGAACTGCCGACATCTGAGGCTGGGATATGACCCAGCTACTTGGCACTGGCTTCATTTGAGAGGTCTGGCCGACTACCAACAGTGGCAAAACTAAGGGTCATTATAAAGATATAATAAAGTGGCTCCCCACCACCCATGAACCACTGGAAAATGGCTATGGGTCTTGGTAGACCTCTTAGTGATTTCACTGCCTGTTTGTAGCATAGATGCTGTATACTTTTAAACTGCATTTTATTGCTGGGAGAGATCATCAGGGGGTTTGGGCTGGGCGTTCATCAATATGCGGATGATACCCAGCTCTACCTCTCTTTTAAATCAGAACCAGTCTTGTGTGAGTGTCTGGAGGCGGTTGGAGGATGGATGGCAGCTAACAGATTGAGGTTGAATCCTGACAAGACAGAAGTACTGTTCTTGGGGGACAGGGGGCAGGCTGGTGTGGAGGACTCCCTGGTCCTGAATGGGGTAACTGTGCCCCTGAAGGACAAGGGGCACAGCCTAGGAATCATTTTGGATTCACAGCTGTCCATGGAGGTGCAGGTCAATTCTGTGTCCAGGGCAGCTGTCTACCAGCTCCATCTGGTAAGCAGGCTGAGACCCTACCTGCCCGCAGACTGTCTCGCCAGAGTGGTGCATGCTCTAGTTATCTCCCGCTTGGACTATTGCAATGCATTCTACATGGGGCTACCTTTGAAGGTGACTCAGCAATTAATCCAGAATACGGCAGCTAGACTGGTGACTGGGAGTGGCTGCCGAGACCATATAACACTGGTCCTGAGAGATCTGCATTGGTTTCCAGTATGTTTCCAAGCGCAATTCAAAGTGTCAGTGCTGACCTTTAAAACCCTAAATGGCCTCGGTCCTGTATACCTGAAGAAGTGTCTCCACCTCCATTGTTCAGCCCAGACGCTGAGGTCCAGCACTGAGGGCCTTCTGGCGGTTCCCTCACTGTGTGTGAGAAGTGAGGTTGCAGGGAACCAGGCAGAGGGCCTTCTTGGTAGTGGCACCTGCCCTGGGGAACACTCTCCCATCAGATGTTAAGGCAATAAGTAACTATCTTACTTTCAAAAGAATTCTGAAGGGACATCTGTTTAGGGAAGTTTTTCATGTTTAATGCTGTATTGCGTTTTAATATTCGGCTGGGAGCCACCCAGAGTGGCCAGGGAAACCCAGCCAGATGGGCGGGGTATAAATATTATTATTATTATTATTATTATTATTATTATTATTATTATTATTATTATTATTATTATTATTATTACTTCTTATATTCTGTCTTACAGTATCACAAATCGAATTCCATCGAATTCAGATGGTAGGGGTTCTTCACAGACCACCCGAAGTGGATGACCCTTTGGGAACTCCTGGGGAGCTGGTTAGGACTGGCTGCCAGGCACATGGACTTCCTGACAGCTGTTTTGACAATGCAGTGCAGTGAGGAACCTAGGTTAGTCCAAAGGAGGGACTGGTACCAGCCTCCTTTTGCTACATAGCCAAAGGTGCTCCTTTCTAGACTCAGATAAGGAGCGATGGTCTTCAAGACGGCCACTGGAGTACCTGTGGAGTCCTGGTGCTTGTGTGCAGTTTAGCGCAAGGGATGCTAGTGGTAAAACACCAGGAATACCAGAGGATGGAGTGTGCTCAAGGGGAGAAGAAAATGGTTAATGGCAAAAAGCTAATGTGCTTTAAATTAATTAAGGTAGAAGCTGCTCACAAAACTGTAGCTCTTCCCTGTGGATGTACACATTAGGACATATAAATTTATATTGTCACTGTGGAGAACAAGCAGTGTTGGAGAACTCTATACCAGAAACGTACAAAGTCCATTGCAGAGAGATTCTGAGCTCATCATCACCATGTAAGTATCATCTACTGTCTCGACTTCTTCCTCCTCCTGATTGTTGCTTTCCTTGCTGTCTTCTTTTATCTGGGAGGGAAAAGACCAAAGAGTGCTCAGTAGCAGGAGTGTCCATCAGGGTTTCAGTGCAGGCCAGAGAGCACAGTTCTGGAGCCATGCAGATATCCCATCTGGTCCCCTACTTTCTGCAGAACTGGTTTCCCTCTGAATGAGCTTTTCCTTAGCAACATCTGCTTCAACACAATCCAGTTCTGTAAAAAGTGTAACAGGAGACAAAGGAACACAGGGAGAAAACATAAAAGGTTGACCCCCTAATTGCAATAAGTTAAAGCTGACAACTTGTTGGCATGTTTGCACAGGAATTAATCAGCTCTTTTTGTGTGTGTGTTGGTTTGTTTTGCAAGCAACACTAAGCATAGACCACAGCAAAAATCCAAAGAGCTATTTTAGGAGTGCCCAAGCATACCTGGTGCAGCAGAACTTCTATTTGATAAGCATAAGCCCCAAGGTCCCTTTGGCTAGAGGAACTAATCTGGGAATAGGGAAGCTCAGGCATGTGGGTCAGTGTGGCTCTCCAGTCCTTTGTAACTGGTCCCTAGGACTCTCCCCAAGCCACAAACCCCTCTGCCCTTTGCTTTGTATCCCCTTTGGATGTTTTTTTGCCTGGCCAGAACATATCTATGAAATCTAATTCTAAATTCCCACTACCAATATACTAGAAGCTAACATATTGCTGAGGTTGGCCCTCACTTTACTCTGTTCTTTGACTCTCAGTCAAGGTACTTGATTTGATTGTCTTTGCCCTGTATCAGCATCCCTCTATTGTCAGAATCAATGTTGACCCTGAGCCATTTGACATCACTCCCTTTCTGATTTTGGGGCCAGCGCTCATGTGATACAAAAACTCTGGATAGAAGATTTCTGACTGGATCTCATGATTTTTATTTTTTAAAGTGCCTTTCCCATTCACCACACCCCTTACAAATGGAAAAAAGATGGCACCATATATATTTCCCAGGAGAGTGACTTTGGCCACTACCAAAAAGCTTTTATTGATGAGCCAAAGAGCAGAACCCCAGTAGCTGGTTGTATAGCATGTGCAATCTCATATGGATGCAAGATTCTTGATACTCAAAAGGTGTACACATTCTGAACAAAAAATAAAGTCTGCTTTCAGCAGCTAAATGATTTGACTGATACACTACACTTGTATACACATTTGTTTGTTTTGCATATTTTATTCTGTCTCTGCTAGTTGTGGGAGAGGGGAAGCAGTTATTCAGGCACAAAAGCAACCCCCTGCCCCCCCAAGGCAATCCCAATAAACCCCCTTTTTGGTTTTGTACATTTCACCTGTTTTTACAGCCATGAGGTCTAGAAACATGTCTCTGTTTCTATAAAATCACCCTGCTGAAACACTACCCAATGGGGCAGAACCATGATGGATAGGTAGGTAGCAAATTACTTTTTGTACTCACTTTGAATATTCTATCTGTTGGGGGTGCTAGTCCACTTGCCAGTGCACCGGCAAATTGCATTAGGTTGTATTCTACTTACAGCAGACCTACTGAAAATAATGGCTAACTTAGGTTTAAAAATTTCAATGGGTCCACACTCAGTATAACCTACTTGTGTACAACTCAATGCCTTTTTGTTTTGTTGTTCTCTGTTCGACTCTGTGAGGGCTTACATTATATTTTATTTTTTCATTTTAACAAGGTAGTGCATCGTGTACTGCCTGGCATTTGCTTTTGAAAAAAGAGAAGACATTTTCAAGGCTGGAATTTAAGGAGCATATGTTGGAACTCCCTCCCTTATGGAAATTTGCCAAAAGCCTGAACATCTTTTAGACATGTTGTAAGATATTTCTATTCAGGCTGGCCTTGACTGTCAGGCTTTGATACCTGCTCAGCTTTTGAGCTGCTCCCCAGGATCATTTATATGAGCACAATTCTTTCCCAGGCCAGCAAAATACATGAGAGCAAAGGGATATCCACAGGATAACAATTCCCCTGTTTTTCTCCCTCAGTACTACATCAGGCCATTATGGGAGTCAGAAAGCTGTGTGTGAGACTGCCAGGAGTCCCTCAGAAGTGGTTTGCTGTGTTGAGCAGAGCTGCTGCACTAGCTTCCTGACAGGTGGGTTGATGAGAGAAGGAGAGATGAGGTGGGGTGGTAGATGCAGTGCTGTCACACTGGTGGAGCTGATCCAGCCCTCCTGCCAGTGCATTTGCTGTGTGCCAGACTCCCCACTGCCATGTCTCTCACCCAGAGTGGTGCATGCTCTAGTTATCTCCCGCTTGGACTACTGCAATGCACTCTACATGGGGCTACCTTTGAAGGTGACCCAGAAACTGCAATTAATCCAGAATGCGGCAGCTAGACTGGTGACTGGGAGCCGCCGCTGAGACTGTATAACAGCGGTCCTGAAAGATCTACATTGGCTCCCAGTACATTTCCAAGCACAATTCAAAGTGTTGGTGTTGTCCTTTAAAGCCCTAAATAGCCTCGGCCCAGTATACCTGAAGAAGCATTTCTACCCCCATTGTTCAGCTCGGACACTGAGGTCCAGCTCTGAGGGCCTTCTGGAGGTTCCCTTCCTGCGAGAAGTGAGGTTACAGGGAACCAGGCAGGTTACAGGGAACCTTCTCGGTAGTGGCGCCCGCCCTGTGGAACGCCCTCCCATCAGATGTAAAAGAAATAAACAACTACCTGACTTTTGGAAGACATTTGAAGGCAGCCCTGTTCAGGGAAGTTTTTAATGTTTGATGTTTTATTGTGTTTTTAATTTTGTTGGGAGCTGCTAGAGTGACTGAGGAAACCCAGCCAGATGGGTGGGGTATAAATAATAAGTTGTTGTTGCTTCCCAGTAAGCAACAGTGTCCCATCTGCTCCACCCCACCCAGCGATGCACTTCTGGTCTCCCCTTCTTCGGGGGATGACCCTGAGAATTCTTAGTGAGAATTGCCCTCAGGGCTAGAAAGCAAGTAGCACAAGAGAAGCCCATTGTTACAGTACCTAACTCATATCTGAGGATTCCAGTTTAGATGTCCTAGCACAGAGGTAGGAAGCTCAGGCTCAGGGACCACAAGTGGCCCTCCAGGGCTCTCTATCTGGCCCTCAAGTCTCTTCCACTCACTAATCCCACTTTTCACCCTCCTTGGGCATTTTTGCCTGACTGGCACATATCATTGAGTTCTGATAACACCTCTAGCTTGCTTGGATGAAGGACAGAGAGAGGTGTGTGCATTAGTTGCTCCAACCACTTTCATCTGTGCCCCTGCCCACCATTAGCATGTGGCCTAGAAATGAATGAGGCCATCCTCTCTGCTGAGGTCAGCGCTCACGACAGAGAACAGTGCCTCTGTATCTCTGTATCCATCTCAACTCATGCTTCTTGAGCAAGCGGAGAGGGTTCTAAAATGTATTGGGAACCTTCATGAGTGCAAGAGGCTCTCCAGCTCATGGAGGGTGATGAGAAAGATGACAGGGGCAGTGAAGCTAGCACACCTGTCCCCACAGTCCCATCTTGTGATTAGATTACATGCAGTATTGTTGTTTTCTGTCAGTATGCATTGGCATGGTGTACCGCCACCTCTGTTCCCCCTGCCACCATCTTGCTGCCACCACTTGCCTGCAACCCCCCCTTTGCTGCTGCTTCCTCCTCCTCCGTTGCTGCTGCTTCCCACGACTGCAGGCACAGCCTCTCAGAGCTGCTTTGGCACGACCCCCCAAACGATGTCAAAGCATTGCTCATTAGCCACCTTCCCAGAAGACACTTTAGTGATTGTAAAGGTCTCACCAAAGCGCCTCTGCTCTGGCACATCAGGCGGTGGTAATGGTGAAGAATCCCACCCCGGCTGGTTTCCCCCCCTAAGTGAGAAAAGACACAGATCTCTATAAGAAGTATCTTTTGGGAGGAAAATAGGGTTGGTAGAGTGAAGCGATGGCTGGAAAAGAAAGAGTTAAACAGCCTCCCTTCTCTGCCCGAGGAGGTGGCATCAAGAGCCACATATTCATATGCATAACGTTCAAGAATTCAACATTTCAATCTATTTCAAGGCCCACTTACCATCAGAACATAGATTCTGGGCTCAAGTCAATGGCTTATCTAGCACAGCATCCTGTTCTCACTGTGACCAACAGACAGGACACAAGCACAATGGCACTCCCCTCACTTGTGATTCTTAGCTATTGGAATTCAGAGGCATACTGCCTTCAACAGTGGAGGTAGATCATAGCCATTGTGGCTAGTAGTCACTGTCTGAACAAACGCCATTGCTCTACATTTTATATCAACTTTAATTTTATTTTTTGTATTTTAAAGTTGTAAACCACCTTGGCTGCCTTGCGATATGTAAACGCAATGTAATCCATTAACCATTTTAAGGTGTCCATTAAGAGTCCCAGCTTTCTCTATCATATACTAGTCTCCATGACAGATAACCCTACGCATCCTAGCTGGAATAACTAGAAGACAGGATCACACTGTTAGTCTGAAAAATGCAGTATCAGTATTATTATTTTTGACAAATGACCAAACCAGATAGCACTCCAGCGGTGTTTGTATTGCAAAATGCTGCAATATACAGCTCATAAATATGAATGGTCTCTAAGAACTTGCCAGGTATGGCAAGCTTCTTCTTCCTCAACCAAACAAGCAAAACATTCCCCATGCCTGTTGATTAATTTGTTTCTTGTGCTATACTGACCTTTAAAATAAAGTGAACAACAACAAAAAACAGCCCTCTGCAAATGAAAGGTCTCTGGAATTAGCCCATTAAAACTTGCACTCAGTTCTGCTCAGTAATTCATGCACTTCATGTTGTTTGAAGAGTACAGTTAGATCTAAAACCTTGAACGGAATCCAAATCTTTTATGTTTTCTTTCCCTCTTCTCTTTCAATTGACATCCAAGCCACCAAACTGGCTCCCTTAAAACTGCACAGGCTTTTGCCTAAGGACGGAGGGGAGAAATTCACTTTTGTTTGCATTTTAATGAGAAGCTACCCCATCTGCACTTCTCAAACCAGTATGCAAACCAAAACACAGCTGTCCTTCAAAATTTGAACTTCTCTGAATTTTGCAATGCAATTCTCCAACCAAATAATATATCTGCATATAAGAATGCATGTATTATGCATAAGATAATATTATGCATAAAAATGCACAAGAATAAAAAAAAAAAGCGGTACGAAGGGAGAGCAGAGAGGGCCAATCACTAGCTATAGCACATAGACAAGAAACTGAGCAGACAAACAGGTCATGTGGTCATCGTCTTCTCTATGGTCAGATATATTGTATTGTATTTGAATAATTATTGCTCATGGTAACATTTTAAACAAGACATCTCCAAAAACAACAGCAGGTTTCAAAAAATAGGAGCTATCCTGGTAAAATAAATGTATACAGTGAAGCCAACAGTGGCATATTTTCAGTCCCACAGTGTAATGGGTAGAGTTTAAATCGGTGTAATGGTGGATTGCAGCGCTTTTCTCCAAACTAAGAACCAAGCTAGAAGTAATGCTAAATGGGATCCTCATAACAGAGGGTCCTGGTTGTGCTCGGGACCCAAGAGCTCACCTGGCAGGGTTAAAATGGTGGGGGGGGGAGGAAGGAGCAGGAAGTCCTGGCCATTCCCCTGGGATCATGTCAGGTGGTGTTAGCCAATAGCCAGTAGGTGGTGTGATCCCAGGGGCTTTTAAAACGGCAGTGTGACACAAGCAGGGGCACTTGCTTTGCACTGCTGAACCTGCCCACCCTCCCTAGTTTAGGTAGAGTTGCTTGGCCTTGCTTTTGTTTGGGTTGCCTGTTTTGGAACAGGGGCTGGGTAGGATTTTTTTCCATTTGGCAGATTGCTTTAGCCATTTGGTTTTCACCTATCCCTTAGCAAATCGTCACACTTGTAAGGTGGCGGTTAGGCATTGGCTCAGTTGGACTGTGGGGAGGGGAGGTGCGGCCATCACCTGCCCCTCCAGGAACTGTTAAAGGAATCTGGGGGTCCTGGATCTCATCCGAAGTCCGCTTGAGGGTCTAGGGCCATGCCAGGACCACAGGAACCCCGGGGTAAGCTTAGGTTGGTCCTCATCGACCTTGCTCCCTCATTTGGTTTGCCCCATTGGACGGTCACCCTGAGAGGTGGAGTCAGCTATAGTGGGGAGTCAACGCCTAAGCCAATACCGCTCACATGATTGTATCTCAATAAAGTTGTGGCCAAAATTTGCCCCCAAACTTAAACTAATATAAGTGTCAGTGTGTATTTATTTTGGGGGTGGGTCTTGGGGACTCGAGACACAAACTACGAGTAGGGAACCTGTGGTACTCTAGATGTTGCTAATGGGAGTTGATCCAACACTGATGGCTACTGCTCAGGGAAGATGGGAGCTGTTATCCAACAATATCAGCCAACAAACCAATCTTTATTACGATGATCACAGATCAGCCACGTTCAAAAATATCTAGAGGGGCACAGGGTCACCATCTTCACACTAAACATGTTGTTAGAAACCACACCAGAATTTTTAAACAATTACCAATAGGCATGTCATTACTACCCCTCAATGTTCAGCATGTCCACAGTATGAAGAGAGAGAAGATTTAATTCTTGACTTCCCATGAAATCCACCAGCCCCAGCATGGCTATTAGCCTTGGATAACACTCCCACTGTTCAGAAATAAAGCATCATCTGGTTCTGCAAACTTAATCAACCCAGAAACAATATTTCCTATTAAGTTAGCAATGCCTCTCTAAGATTACTCCTTGCTATTACGGGAAAGCAAGTCATATCTGATGCAATATAGATACACATCTACCTATTGTCTCCCAATTCTCATTTTCTCTTCTCTAAAGACTGAGGACTAATTCTGCACTCACCCCTATTCACAAAGTCTACAAAACAGAATGAAGGGAGCTGAAATGAGAATTTGAATCACACACACACACTGTACACAGAAAGCACAACTGGGGGGGGGATGTTAGCAATTCCTGTTTTGTTTTATTTTCTTGGTGAAGTATTTTGCCTTCTTTTTCCAGCAGTTTTTTTCTAGATGCCAAACATTTCTTTGTAGAACATTTTGGCAGCTCTACATGTTACACAGCAGATATCTAGCAGATACCTGCTCCGGTAAGCCCAGTCCAGAAGCAGCATTAACGACATTTTTTAAACCGCTTTGAGGTTTTATACAATCAAGTGGTATAAAAAATTATGAAATAAACAAACACATTTTTAAAACATCTATGTACGCATCAAGGAGTAAGTGTAATTGCAATGTGGACACCAGTCTTTCCAGCTGCAGCTTGTGTGGCATACATCTTTAAACACCTGCCTGCACACCCCTGGAAACCCTACTGTGATAGAACCAGGGTTTCCAGAAGAAGTATAGGTAAGGTAAAAAGGTAAAGGACCCCTGGACGGTTAAGTCCAGTCAAAGGTGACTATGGGGTTGCAGCGCTCATCTCGTTTTCAGGCCAAGGGAGCCAGTGTTTGTCAACAAACAGCTTTCTGGGTCATGTGGCCAGCATGACTAAACTGCTACTGGTGCAATGGAACACCATGACAGAAGCCAGAGCACACAGATGGAAACACCGTATACCTTCCTGCCGCAGTGGTACTTATTTATCTACTTGCACTGATGTGCTTTCAAACTGCTAGGTTGGCAGGAGCAGGGACAGAGCAACGGGAGCTCACCCCGTTGAGGGGATTCAAACTGCCGACCTTCTGATCAGCAAGCCCAAGAGGCTCAGTGGTTTAGACCACAGTGCCACCCGCGTCCCTAGGATGAAGTATATTTGCTCCTTAACATGTATACTTACCCATCCTTCTCACTAGGGCAGAGAAAAAGGAATAGATATGAATGTGACTTTACATATGAAGTGTGCCTGCATTAGTGTGTATGAGAGAGATGCATGTGTGCCTGTGGTCTGAATGTATGTGGTGAGTGCATGCATGTGCTGTGTGTGAGAGTGTGTGTGGTTGCATATTTTCCTTGCCACCGGGTACCAGGGTACTTTTACTTAGTACATGTCATTATTAAATAGCAGCAGCATCACTGTGTGAACTTCACAACCAGGACCAGCAGGATGTAGCTGACTGCATGAGGTTGTCCCGGGCAGGTTGGGGGAGCAGCAATAACTGCAAACTCTCTAAATTTTGTGTTATGCCATGCCCCCAGGGCAGCCATGTTGTGGCTGGTGCCCATGGCTCTTTCTCAAAATTCAAGACAAACCCACAGATCAAAAAAGATTGGCAGCTCTTGTATAAATGTGACACCTTCAGAATCATATTGTAGCTATGAACTATGCAATCAAGCCTTGCAATTAATAATAAACATTCAAAAATGCAACTCACTAGATATTTAATGATTGTTCAGAACAAAAATCTCTTTATGTTTGTAAGCCACTTTTAGCTTCTAAGAGCAGTCATGTAATTTCGTGTGTTTTAGTGCCCTTTCCCAACAACGCATTCTTTCTGCTGTTCAAGCTGAAGGCAAAGAAGACATCCAAGAAGGTGTTTCTGATTGCTAATTAAAGCCAGGTACAGATAGTTGGTAGTGAAAACTGGTCTCGGGTTCCTGCAGCGAACTGCATGGGGAAATTTATTGTGAAGAAGCAGCTGTCTACAATAAGTAGGCTAGAATATTCTTAGGGGGGTTATCATGTTGACTAGTATTAACAACTCAGTATATGAAGCATTAAGGAAGTCAGACAGGGGTGTATGATTCACTTCATAAACACCCCGGGTCTATCCGTGCTACAGAT